GAAAAAAAATTAACTTAAATGATTTTAGCAAATGGCTGCAATATAACAAAGAGTGAAAAATTGAAGGGGGTCTGAATACTTTCCGTACCCACTGTATATATATATATATGTATATATATGATGAAAAAAATTTAAAAATTACACAAAACAAAATGACTAAATCCTACACTAAACTGAAATATTTGATTAAAATAAAATATGAATAAATACTATGAGTATATACATAAAACTAAAAACTAATGTGTATATGATTTTAGTGATATTTTTCAAAAGTACTCAAAATTACAAGAAAAAAAAATTGTGTAAACAACAGAATACATGTTTACCTGAAACCGCAGTCGGGGCTGAGGAGAGAGGGGAAGGTTTGTCCCAATCATACGGACTATGCTCCGGTACTGTCCACAATATGTACTGTCCCATACTGGAACCAACTGCAACAACAGTGTTCACAAAGACGTACTGTTAAAAAGTTGTAAAACTATGCTTTTTGTTTAAATAATATAAGCAAAAATATATTTGCATTCTAAATTAATTTTCACTTCACCATGTCAGCTGGCACTCCAAAGTACTCCAGGACACATCTCAGCAGGTCGGCGATGTCTTCCAGCAGAGACATTGACCGCTTCCACGCTGGATTTCTGCTGACAGACGAACCAACACCACACTGCAGCAAACTTCTCCACGTGACCTCAAGGATCAAATCAGCTGCATTCCATTCAATTCTGTAACAAAAGCGCCATTAAAACGTGCAACGTTAAATTTTAAATACTGAGGAAAACTAGTGGCATCAATGCGAGGGCAGCGTAATTAAGTAAGTAAGTAATGAACTAGTATTTGCATCAGTAAACACCTTCTCCGGCATCTGCCACTATCCTACGTCTGGGTGCGTGAGAAGGTGAGAACACGCACGTATATCAAACCTATGCTTTAATGTGCGCTTAATTTAAACACATATCCATTGTATTATTAGTAAAATTGCAATTATATTTACAATGTCTATTTGTTTTATGCGTATTATTCACTTTACCTCTTCCTTGTATCACGCTTTCCGTGCGGGTAAACTCAAATAAAGCTCTTTGCGTGAGAGCGCTTGTGATTGGTCGGGAGAGAAGGGCTGGCGCCTGTAGCCAATCGGCTTGAAGAATTTAGAAATGTCGTCAGAGGCCTTCGACCAATCATTTTGTTTGATCGGAAGCAGTGGGAAGTTTTGTATTTAAGGTGTACGCTGTAGTGGTGAGTAGTACACTGTAATTTTATAATTGAATCAACATTTTGCACGAAGTAGGTTTTTGAGAATGATGTATAAGACGGTTAAAATTAATAAAAAAAGGATTCTCTCAATTACAGGAATGTAAATTTACGTTAAACTCAAATCTGAACTCCAGCGATGTACGTTAGCTTTTATGCTAACAGACTAACATTACTGTATCAGGAACTGGTTGTCTCAAGGTTGTTAGTGTCTTCAGCGTTTGTGCTGTAATTAATTGTTTTTTTCTGTTAACTCGTTTAATTCCACCGGTAATATTAGTGAACAAAATTTACTTTTGAGGAGTATGTGTATTTTAAATGTATTTGAAAATGTATGTGTCTTGATTTACTGTGGACATTTACGACTGCGGTCAAGCCAGCCGCGCTTTGAAAGTACACGGTCAAGCCAGCCGCACTTTTTGGTTTGCGCGTGTAATTGTGCACTTACGGTACGGGTGCTGAGAGCAGTCAAAATGTATGTAAAGAAGCTGTCATACCGACGTTTCCTTTATAATTAGCTTATTTTACCTTTTATTTTTAGTTTGTAAATACATTATTTTTGTACATAAACGTTTGTATTGTACATTAATTATTATAAATAATTTATTAATGTTTATAAATGTTCATATTAATGTTTTATATTCATTGTTTTTTTAATTTAATGTTTGTGTGTGTGTGTGTGTGTGTGTATGTACATTCCCTTGTAAGCATGGCAGCCGTTCAGGATATGTGGCAATGTTTCAGTGATCTGTTCTGTGGTGTGATGCAGACAGTGAGGAACCTGAGTTGTAGGAAACCAGATAGAAAGGTTGAGTCTAGTAGGAAGAACTTGCAATCTGACTTTTACTGTAAAAATGGCAATGGCACACACACACACACACACACATATACATATATTATATATATATATATATACACACACACACACACACACACAAACATTAAATTAAAAAAAACAATGAATATAAAACATTAATATGAACATTTATAAACATTAATAAATTATTTATAATAATTAATGTACAATACAAACGTTTATGTACAAAAATAATGTATTTACAAACTAAAAATAAAAGGTAAAATAAGCTAATTATAAAGGAAACGTCGGTATGACAGCTTCTTTACATGCATTTTGACTGCTCTCAGCACCCGTACCGTAAGTGCACAATTACACGCGCAAGACAAAAAAAGTGCGGCTGGCTTGACCGTGCATTTTCAAAGCGCGGTAATTTTTCATTTTCTCATTTACGTGGCTGGTGTGAATGGTCACATGACCGGAGCTGTTGCTCTCTTTGAAAGATGTTGTTTATGTCAAAGCTCCATAAAATTAACCATGTAAAACATGCCACAATACTCCTACAAATACTTTATTATTTAGTACATATACTATTTAAAGGGTCTATTATTAATGTACAATTAAAAAGTGCTCTGTCTATTATACATCATTATAACAATTCATACAAAATGTGTCCGGTGGGAAAACCAAGAGATCGGTTTTGAATTAAAGAAAGTATTGGAATATGTTTTAGTTTTACAAGTGGATCTATGTAATAATATATATTTCAAATAATTTGTTTTAATATCCTTTGGTGTTATAGATATCCACAAAAATGATGGACGCGTTATCAGTAGTCACACAGCTGCGGGACCTGGCATCAGAACCGCAGAATCGGGAGGCAATTGTTCAGGACCAGGGTTGCCTTCCAGGTCTAGTGCTGTTCCTCGACCACAAAGACCCTAAAGTACTTTTTGCCACCCTCCAGGTACACCCAGATCTGATTTGTCAGTGCAGAAGTTCTTGTCAAACTGACAAAGAGCCAGTTGTGATATTAAATCGTGTTTAATGTCTTGTATGTTTCTTGTACTGACTACTTAAGGCTTGTGTCTCATCAGACTTTGCGATACCTGGCTGAATCGCCTCGCAACATCAGCACCATGAAAGATGAGCTTGGCATGATGGTGAGCCTGGAGATACTGATGGAGAGGTGATTTTAGTTTATTTATTGAAAGATAAGTTGATTTATTTTACTTGTAATATCTTAAAGTCAACATGAAATCTTTTTTTTTTTTTTTACTTTTTTAAATGTCTATATAGTTTTTCTACATTTTTATTTCAGTTTTAGTTATTTTAGTACAAGTTAAATTAAATTAATATTTTACTTTTAGTATCTTAGTCAACCTAAAATCTTAATTTTAGTGTCATTGAGACACTGTTATACTTTTTATTAATATTTAGAATGTTTTTTCATTTTAATTTGAGTAATTTTATGTTTTTTGTCATTTAAAAAATGTATAGTTTTTATTTTATTTGAGTTTTAGTTATGTTAGTACAAGTTAAACTAGATGAAAATGAGAAGTTTTGCATTGGCAACTAGCTGAAATAAAACAAGTTTTTATTTCAAATGAAAAATAAGTTTTTTTAAATATTTTATTTCTGTTGAATGTTTACTTCAATTAAAAATTTGTAAAAAAAAAATAATAATAATAAAATAAAATTTTAAAACTTTTAAGGTTTAAACAACAGTTATTATAGTTAACTAAAATGTGTTCTTAGTCTTTCTTTGCCCAATCCATCAATTGACATTATTCCAAAGGAAAAAAAAATTCGAAAATTCGAAAAATAGTTTTCATGATCTTTTATATCCTTTTCCCACTTTTTCTACTGTTTGAAGGACTGGTATGACGACTGATATTACAGACCTTGCAAAAGAGGTGTATGATGTGTTGAGTGCTCAAACACAGAGACAGGCTTGTCAGACTCCAGAGCAACAGAAGAGGAGGAACAAACCCCAGTTCTTCATCAACAGCTCCAACAAGAAAGCAAAATCAGTTACCCTGCATATACAAGGCTTAGATGGGGCAGTATGTACCATAACAAAGCTTTCACACATGCACTTTGCTGGTCTTACCTGGCCTGGGTCATAAAACATTTCTCTCATATTTATGCAGATTACGGAGTAAAAACATGTGGCATTGTGTTGACAGGATCAGAGAGGTGTGTGTGAGGAGGCCCTTTTGAGGGTCAAAGGTGTAATCAGTTTCACGTTCCAGATGGCTCTGAAGAGATGTACTGTACGCATCCGTGCCGACCTGCCCTCTGAGGTACACCGTATTCCTCTTTCTGTAAGGAGAGAGGCAACTAATAAAAGCAGAATTGTTTTCATGAAATGCTAAAAGCAAATATCTTTTATCCAGAGCCTGGCCACTGCCATTGCTGCCACAAAAGTGCTTTCAGCTAAGCCGGTAGTGAAAAATGAAAATGGAGAAGAGGTGGGTGTTTCTGTTGTTTTTAAGCATGTATTTAAATATGTTTAAGTGAGAATGATGGCTTAATATCTTGCTGCTGATCTGGTTGGGTCTGATTTTCACATGCCTTGCCTCTTTAAATGAATAAATATATATACATAATAGTTTTTTTTTTTATATATACATATTTATACATTTATATTTTAATTTAATTAATTCCATATATATATATATATGTGTGTGTATGTGTGTGTGTGTATATATATATATATATATATATATATACAGTATGTGTGTTTCAATAGTTTTATGACCCATAAACTTGCTGTTATTTATTTACATGGCTATGGTTACAGGTTCTCATTCCACTCAGCACCTCTGGCTCAAAGGTAGAAGAGAATTCCCACCTGCCAGATTACCTACCAGAGGACGAGAGTCCGGAGAAAGAGCTGGACCGCGCCGTGTCCCGTACTGGTGCTAAACAAGACACCGGTGGCAGCTGGCTGAACACAGCAGCCAGTTTCCTCACTAAAACTTTCTACTGGTAAAGCTCGAGTTTCACAGACTTTTCCTGTCTGAGTTTGGACCTCAACATTTTTTTAAAGAAAGATCAGCATAGGAGAGCAAGTTGCACCACTATCAGAGCTTAAAGCACTAATGGAAGGTTGAGGAGCTGACAAATGCGCTTTATCAGTTTATGAGCACAACCTTTCACACAAAAATGTGTGTGAGATCTCAGCCACATCGCAACTCTGTACTGTTATATAGACGTTGAGTTCATGTTGTACATTTATGTATATGAAAACATGTCTTTCCACCCTCTCAGGATCAGAAATGTTCTGTTTCTGCTGTCGTGTGTGTGTGTGTTGTATTGACTTTCCACCTGATTTCTTGTAAATATTTCCATTTTGGTGTGTTATTAGGGGAAGTATATATGCTGAGTCTCATCTAATAATGGAAACAACTGAAAGGCAGATTAAATGTCTAATGCTGTTTTGTGTAAAGTAAAGGTTTGGAAGGAAGAAGTCTGTACTGATCTTTGTAATGTTATTTAAATTTAAGTGTTCAAAATATGGGCTTTCATGTTGAAAAAGGTGAGTGAATACAGATGACCACACCAAATAACTTAGTCTTTTAATTTAGTTGTAATATGGTTTATTGATACAAACAAAAAGTTAGAGGATAAATTATTTTAAACAAATTTTCTAAATAAATGAATGACAAATACATATAAAAATCTGTGTCAGTATAAATGTTTTACCATACATAAAAAAATAAACGATAGCATTAATTTAAACTACATAAATGAAAAACATAACCAATTAAATTTATGCAAACAACCTTCCTTATTGCTTCAGAGCTACTTATAATGGCACAAGTTTAGCATAACGGTACAGTGCAATAGTGTGTTAACGACCTCTACAGTTAAAGAGGTTCTGAGCCTTTTCTTATAATAACAATAAATGTGCACACCTTGGCCCATCTTTTGAAAACAACAGCAGTGCATCAGTCAACCTGTAACATACTTGTAAATGTACATAGTACATATTAGCATCAAATGGAATACATGGGTTTGTATTGTATAACCAACAAAATTGCATTGCAACTGAATTC